AATAATAATAATAATAATAATAATAATAATGATAATAATGATAATAATAATAATAATAATGATAATAATATAGAACAGAGTCTGGGTCAAACTGTGGAACTTTTGCTGCTGTTGTTGTTGAGTTAGATCTGAGTTAATTCATTATTCATTCATATTAATAATAATAATAATAATAATAATAATAATAATAATTCATGTTATTTATTTAATTGTACCTTAATTTAACCGGGAAAGTTTCAGATACGGAACTTATTTTTGCTGGAGAAGAAGCAGCAAAAGTTACACACAATTACAAATTAAAAATCATTAACACACAATTACAGATGATAAAAAAGTTACACACATTCACAGATTATAAAAACAGTTACACACAATTATGGATTATAAAAAAAAGTTACACACAATTACAGATGATAAAAAAGTTACAGACAATTACGGATTATAAAAACAGTTACACACATTTACAGATTATAAAAACAGTTACACACAATTACGGGTTATAAAAAAAGTTACACACAATTACGGATTATAAAAAAAGTTACACACATTTACAGATTATAAAAACAGTTAGACACATTTACGGGTTATAAAAACAGTTACGCACAATTACGGATTATAAAAATAGTTACACACAATTACAGATTAAAAACAGTTACACACAATTACGGATAAAAAAACAGTTATGCACAATTACGGATTATAAAAACAGTTACACACAATTAGGAATTATAAAAAAAGTTACACACAATTACGGTTTGTAAAAACAGATACACACAACTATGGATTATAAAACAGTTACACACAGTTACGGTTTATAAAAAAAAGTTACACACAATTACAGTTTATAAAAAAGTTACACACATTTACAGATTATAAAAACAGTTACATACAATTACGGGTTATAAAAAAAGTTACACACAATTACGGATTATAAAAAAAGTTACACACAATTACAGATGGTAAAAAAGTTACACACAATTACGGATTATAAAAACAGTTACACACATTTACAGATTATAAAAACAGTTACACACAATTACGGATTATAAAACAGTTACACACAATTACGGATTATAAAAACAGTTACACACAATTACGGATTGTAAAAACATTTACACACAATTAGGAATTATAAAAAAGTTACACACAATTACGGGATGTAAAAACAGATACACAAAACTATGGATTATAAAACAGTTACACACAGTTACGGCTTATAAAAAAAAGTTACACACAATTACAGTTTATAAAAAAGTTACACACAATTACAGATTAAAAAACATTAACACACAATTACAGATTATAACAACAGTTACACACAATTACAGATTAAAAAATAGTTACACACAATTAGGAATTATAAAAAAAGTTACACACAATTACGGGATGTAAAAACAGATACACACAACTATGGATTATAAAACAGTTACACACAGTTACAATTTATAAAAAAAGTTACACACAATTACAGTTTATAAAAAAGTTACACACATTTACAGATTATAAAAACAATTACACACAATCACGGGTTATAAAAAAAGTTACACACAATTACGGATTATAAAAAAAGTTACACACAATTACAGATGGTAAAAAAGTTACACACAATTACGGATTATAAAAACAGTTACACACATTTACAGATTATAAAAACAGTTACACACAATTACGGGTTATAAAAACAGTTACGCACAATTACGGATTATAAAAATAGTTACACACAATTACCGATTATAAAACAGTTACACACAATTACGGATTATAAAAACAGTTACACACAATTACGGATTAAAAAACAGTTACACACAATTACGGATTGTAAAAACAGTTACACACAATTAGGAATTATAAAAAAGTTACACACAATTACGGGATGTAAAAACAGATACACACAACTATGGATTATAAAACAGTTAAACACAGTTACGGCTTATAAAAAAAAGTTACACACAATTACAGCTTATAAAAAAGTTACACACATTTACAGATTAAAAAACATTAACACACAATTACAGATTATAAAAACAGTTACACACAATTACGGGTTATAACAACAGTTACACACAATTACAGATTAAAAAACAGTTACACACAATTACGGGTTATAAAAACAGTTACACACAATTAGGAATTATAAAAACAGTTACACACAATTAGGAATTATAAAAACAGGTACACACAATTACGGGATGTAAAAACAGATAAACACAACTATGGATTATAAAACAGTTACACACAGTTACGGCTTATAAAAAAGGTTACACACAATTACAGCTTATAAAAAAGTGACTCACATTTACAGATTAAAAAACAGTTACACACAATTATGGGTTATAAAAAAAGTTACACACAGTTACGGATTATATAAAAAGTTACACACAATTACAGATGGTAAAAAAGTTACACACAATTACGGATTATAAAAACAGTTACACACATTTACAGATTATAAAAACAGTTACACACAATTACGGGTTATAAAAAAGTTACACACAATTACGGATTATAAAAATAGTTACACACAATTACGGATTATAAAAATAGTTACACACAATTACGGATTATAAAAATAGTTACACACAATTACGGATTATAAAACAGTTACACACAATTACGGAATATAAAAACAGTTACACACAATTACGGATTAAAAAACAGTTACACACAATTACGGATTGTAAAAACAGTTACACACAATTAGGAATTATAAAAAAGTTACACACAATTACGGGATGTAAAACAGATACACACAACTATGGATTATGAAACAGTTACACACAGTTACGGCTTATAAAAAAAAGTTACACACAATTACAGATTAAAAAACATTAACACACAATTACAGATTATAAAAACAGTTACACACAATTACGGGTTATAACAACAGTTACACAC